GTAAGCATCTCATTCCATGCGTTAACCCAGTCAATAGGCACATCGTAACCGGCGGAAAGCTGACCGTCCATGCCGAGGAACCTAGTCAGGGCACGATATGTCGAGTAGTGGAAGGCTGCACCATCGATTGCTTCATGACCAATCTCACGCAGGAAATACTGGGAACTGGATTCGTTGGTCATCGCCATAGCCTCACTAGCAGTGCTCGGGTACTGGTTCGGCTGGCGACCGCGACCCAGATAAATTGAACCGAAGGTGTTACCACCAGTGATCTCACCAGCGATGAAGAAATTCTCCTTTCCGACAGCGCGGGCGCACTCTCGGTACGCAAGAGACATCTCGCCAAGCGCGTCAACAGTAGCCTGTGTGGCTTTATCGTACCGGAAGCCATCGATATCCAGAGACGCGATGATCATGCAAGAGTGACGGATCAGCCGTTGGCGCACACTTGGATTCCATTCACGCAGACGATCCTGCACGGATGCGAACTTGGCAAGTTCACGCTGCCAATCTGGGAACACACCGAAGGCTTCAATGTCACCGTATTGATCAAAGTCACTGTCGTAGCAACCAACGAGGCCGGAGATCAGAGAATCATTGACAGGGTATCCGTTCTCGAACCAGAAGCGAGGGTAGTCGCAAGTCTCGTTGTACGTGTTTCCAATGTCGAAGTCCACGTAGCGACGCTCGCTCTTCCAAGTTGTCTGATGCTCTTTCTCCGAGAAAGGCGTCGTGGTGTTCAGGTATCCCTCAAATCCAATGAGATCACCCATACTTCCGAACAAAATTAGCCTTCAATCTCGTACGGGATAGTGGAGAGACGAAACTTACGTGGCGATGGTGTTGTCGAACAGAACATACATGCCCCTCTTGTGAATTTCGGTGATGGCATCGCGCCAAACTTGGATAGTACCATAATGTTTATCAAGAAGTGTTGTATCAAGAGCCGAGTATCCGTCGAAGCCCCAAGGCTGGTTCATCAATGAAGTTCCTGCGAGATAGATGCCCTATAGGTCGTCAGTATTTGCTATGGCAACATCATTTGTAGGTCTCAAGTCATCCATACCTTGATGCCCATTCCTTGCAGGTAGTCCAAAGTATCAACCAAGCCAGCAACGTCACCACCATGGCGCATTTGAGTCGAATCCAAATCGTGCTCGAACAATGTGCCGTTGATATTATCATTAGTAGGATCGCCGTTGACGAAGCGGTCCAAGAAGAGTGTATAGAATGGGAATCGCCAGTTATCCGGAGAAGGGAAGTAATCCCCTTCGTGGTTTGGCCATTCTCCCCAATAGTCAGCCGGATCTGTAGCTGTCTTATTCTGATTGAGATTGTACTGGAGAAAAGACTCGTCGTACGGCCAGCATGTTGACGTTGTCGCGAAGAGGGCGAGGAGCCCAGTGGAGAGTAGCCACCTCATTGCTCAAGTGTGTGTAACTTGAATGCTTGATGATTCTCCAGCGTCCGTTCGAGGCGTCCGAGGAGCCTCTGGAAAGAGTAGAAGAAACTCAAGACTCTCAGGTGGAGGCAGACATGCGCCTAGCTAGGTTGACCCCAGGTACTTCCAGCAGTTCGTTGTAATCCCCAGATTATCACAGATGCAGAGAGATAACGATAAATAGCGAAGAAAACGAGGGGACGACGCTTAAAGAAACGTAATGAGGATAGAACACCCAATAATTTTTCAACAAGAAACGAGTGCTAGAGGTGATAAGATGGGAGAAATGGAATGTAGCAAAGGGAAAGTTGTCAGATCACGTAGGAGAACAGTGCTGCGATGCTAGCCAATTTAGTGGCGTATGTGCTCAGCTCGAGATAAAAATAAATGTCAAAGACAAGCTAAGTATTCTGGAGCAAATGAAACCTCTATGTAAACGAGTTTGAGGCTAATTACGGATACGGTCACAAAAACGCCAGTAGTGATAGAGTTGTCTGGTGCCGGTGGATGCATTGGATGTACTAGGTTCTTCCACGATACTTCGAACTAATCTCGAAACTGCAATTGCGCTGGATTTTTCCAGATTATTGATACATCATGACTAGTGTCCCACGAGCATTGGGCCCGCAGCCAAGATGCTCACTCGTGGCTCGACGGATAAACGCCGCCAGAAATCACCAGAATGGGTAGAGACGACTTTCCGTATTCGTGGAAAGTCGGTTTTTTGAACGTCTCTGTTTGGCTCCAGACCATACGGCGACAGAGTACAGAGCTTGTATCTTTCTCAGACAGTCCGGTTTCACTAGTACGTTGCTCCATCTGTACTATTCCAACCGAATAGTTCCATCCGAGACAGGTCCACTTTGAGGTGAATCAACCACAGTGACAGATCCGTAATCAGTCCCAAGAAGAAATTCCTAGCACGAGAAAAGAGATTTTGTTTTGGAACTACCTTGCCAATAAAACCAAAAAAAAAGAAAGCAGATTGCTGATGTTACGACTCTCGTCGTCAGCCGAGTGTGCGTTACTTCAACATCCAGATGCACTTTGATAAGCGTTCGGCGCAGCAGCTCGTATTTGGCGTGCAGCCCGATATATGGCGAACCTGGTCGGACGGTATCTATACATAGAATTTCAAGGTAGAATTCCACAGATAAGAGAATCCGGCCGTGCACCCGGCGCAATTGATGCAATCTTCGGTACATATGTACTAGCTCTTCGGTAGGCTTAGCTGGTGGGTCCGGCTAGCCCGGGCGTCTTTAGGGCAGTACTCCTGAGACATGTAATTTTCGATTCTTCTACGTTTCAAATTCGACATGGTAGGGAAGTTACTCGAAAGTAACGGGTACATCGAGTCGCCATGGCTTGGGCGTTGAGCCACGTACCGCTGATCCGGGCTTTCAAGCTGAACGTCAAGAGGTCAACCATTAATACAATACGAAGGTGATATCCTTTGACTGATTTAACTTTTGATTCCGGAAAGAGCTGATAGCCTTGTGACCTTAAGGATGATCCCGTTATGGCGAAGTATTATCAGCCCTGAGCTCATGCCATCTCTTGCGCAAATATGATCACCGTTCTTTGATGTTCATTTTGATTGGAGGATGGGCGAGGGAAAGGTTGATCGTTTGAAAGACGTTCCTGGATACTAGACGATACCATGTGGGGATTGGTAATGAATTATTAACCCTGACATCGTTATCATCGGCATGGCTAGGATATGACCAAGTCGACTCACAACATTGTGATGCATATTCTGGTAATCTCCGACATTCACGTTGTGCGTGATAACGAACCTGCAAATCTTGTTCCCCTTTTTTTTTTTTTTTTTTTTTCTGAAATATTCCATGGACAGTCTTTGAGCTTGAATTTGCTTTTACCTTTTGCAAGAAATGGCATGGATGTATCATATCCCCTTTCCTCATTTTGAATTTTATTTTCATGTTTTTCTCACGCCACTTATCGCGGTGGAGATTGGACCCTGGTATCGACGGAGATCGCTGGAAGCGGAACCGTAAATTTACAGGTAAAATAACCACTGGAATTGTCCATACTGCCCTAAAAATACAGCCACCCGCTGCGAATTAACCGAACTGGGAACATCCAATCGTGTGGTGTATTCTTGTACGCCGATAACGATATATAAAATACCAGATCAATAGAGCCAGTACTCTCATGGTTCATTTCGCCAAGACGCCCGGTTCGCTCTCAAATCCTTCTCGTACTTCCCAGGGTTCGAGACGGTCCGAAATTGAACTAGCAATCGATCCGTGCGCTGATCATCCAATGGTCTCTTATTCGTTGAATTCATGGTGCCTGATCTACCATCGAGTATCACATCCATCCCCCCCCCCCCCCCAATAGTTGCCTCCTTTGAGGATATGGAACATTGCCAGATCTCAAGTTCAAGGTCTTAAAGTACGTTGTGTGTTGGTGATGGGCAAGAGGTAAACTCAATTAACGATATTAGCCGACATTATGACACTGGATTAATCATCCAGCGACGAACCTGCCACTTTCTCCGTCATCCGTCATTTTGTCTCGGAGGAGTGGTCAAGTCACAAAGTCCGTCTACTTCCAAGCCCGGGTTTGACCGCTACCCACGTTTTGACCGGCACGGATTACTCCGTACATGTCTCACTCTCGCCAGCACACCGAATACCTGCTGGTGGCACTCCGGGAGACAACTGGACTCGAACGTTCGAAGGCGTCTCACCCATGCGGGCAGACCGTTCGAAACATTTCCATCACAACCATGGGGCTCGTATATGTAGTCGATATGTCGCGAGTCAAGTCTGTCTGGCCTGGAACCTTCGCCGAGCGATCCTCCGTAGCCTACCTTATATGCTCCCCATATCGCTCCTCGTAGACTCGTAGGGTTCCCAAATTCCATGGATTGGTCCAGGTACCACGTTTCAGAAAAGCTTCTCCGCGTGTTCGCTTCTGAAGATGTCCGAAGACTCCCCGGATTCGACATGACAACTGCCGAATATGAAGGTCGAGTCTTCAACGGATTTTGATAGATGCCTCTCTAGGGCATTCTGCCCGAGGCAATGTGACCATGTTCCCCCAATGGCTCCGATCACGACTAGTCCACGAAGCTAGGCTCAAATCACACCTAGGTGGGTTCCCCTACCGCGGTAGCAACCAGCAATAGTACGGAGGAAGATGCGTCCAGAGTCACCAAGTGACCAAGTCTGACCCATTGCCCCAGCGTCCCCAGTAGCTAGGGCTTTGGTCCCTATGTCCGGTCCTTTACCCCAAATTCTTCAGTGCGAACTCTAACCTTGATTGCAGTCTTTCTTTCCCCAGGGGGGTCGCTCTCATTCCTTCCTTTCTCGGTCCTTTTCCCTCCCTCAATCCCTCAATCCCCCATCCCTCTACGCGGCCTCCCCTCATGTGATTCAAATCCCTAATACGCCGTCGCTCGTTTCTTATCACACTCGTTTATCCCCCGTCACTCATTCAACTCGATTTTTGTCTCTTTGTTTTTACGACGTTTTTGCGTCTCCGTCTCTCGCTTTTTGTATACGAGCGTGGCGCGTCCTAAGGACCCGCCATGTTGCCTACGTCAGCCATCTGCTTTCTAGCAGGCCTTGCATCTATTTCGAGTCTCTTTGGGCCAGCTTTCGCTGCGCAAACGTCAGAATGGAAACCCCGATCGGTTTATCAAACCATGACGGATCGCTTTGCGCGCACCGATGGCTCCACGACGTCTCCTTGCGACCTTGAGGAGGGGAACTATTGCGGAGGAAGCTGGAGAGGAACTATTAATCATCTCGACTACATACAAGGAATGGGATTCGATGCCGTTATGATCTCTCCGATCATCAAAAACATCGACGGTCGCGTTTCTTATGGTGAGGCCTATCATGGCTACTGGCCGCTCGACATATACGACCTGAACTCGCACTTTGGAACATCCCAAGACTTGCTAGACCTCGGCGATGCTCTGCATGCTCGAGGAATGTACCTGATGATGGATACAGTCATCAACAACATGGCCTACATCACCAATGGCACTGACCCCGCCACGCACATCGACTACTCGGTCTTCACGCCGTTCAACAACGCGGATTATTTCCATCCCTACTGCGAGATTACGGATTGGAATAACTACACGGATGCGCAGCTCTGTCAAACCGGTGATAACAAGACAGCGCTCCCCGATCTTTTCACTGAACACGACGATGTTCAACGGCTTCTGGAGAACTGGGCAACGGACACGATCAAGAAATATTCTATTGATGGTCTCCGCATTGATGCCGCCAAGCACGTCAGTCCAGGCTTCTTGAAAAACTTTGGAGATAAAGCTGGCGTGTTCATGACTGGTGAAGTTCTCGACCGAAACGTGGACACCGTTTGTAACTACCAAAGCAAGTATATCGGGAGTATGCCCAATTACCCCATCTACTACGCGATGATCGATGCGTTCACCAAAGGCAACGTCTCCGAGCTTCCGAACCAAGTGGAGGTCATGAAAAATGCATGCCCTGACGTCGCCGCAATGGTCTCATTCTCTGAAAACCATGACCTTCAGCGGATCGCGAATATGACGTCGGATCTGTCGGTACGTGTCACTGCGCCAGATTACCACCGCACAATCTCTGACCTCGGTTCTGCCCATGTAGCTTGCGAAAAATATCATCACATTCACACTTCTTTTCGACGGCATCCCAATGCTCTATCAAGGCCAAGAGCAACACTTAAATGGAGTTTTCAACCCGTGGAATCGTGAAGCAATCTGGCTTACCGGCTACAAAACTGACGCCGTTCTTTACAAACTTATCGCAACGCTGAATGGAATCCGGAAACATGCCTACACCCTGGATGCGGGTTACGTTGACACCCAAACCCATTCAATCTTCACGGGCGGCAGCGAATTAGCCTTCTCCAAGGGCGTTGAGGGACGACAGGTCATCATGCTTCTGTCGAACCAAGGAACGCAAGGTAAACCCTACACCTTGACGTTACAAGTCTCCTTCAATGCTGGTACGGCGGTGACGGACGTGTTGAACTGCAAAGCTTACTCGGTGGACGAGCGTGGTGAGCTCAGCATCGACATGGACCAAGGAGAGCCTCGCGTTCTGTTCCCTACCAAGTTGATGAATGGCAGTGGACTATGTGGTTACTCGTCAGAAAATATTTCCTACGCCGATCTCATGACGGCCGGATCGTCATCCTTGGGGGCTAGAAATAAAGGAAGCGCTAACGTTAAGCAATCCCTTTTGCTGACATTCATGATGAGCTTAATGTTATTAGGCATGGTCTAAGTCTTGGCGTCAATCCACATCCTTTGCATTCTGCATCAGCCAGTGTGTTTATGATCTGACGTTCTTTCCTGATATCCCTCGATGTACGAAGTCCTCGGTCCCGATCCCATTGTTGCTTTTTCCTTCTCTCTCTTAGCCATTGTACACGGTCGCGTTTTTCGGCACCATGACCAACATTCTTTTCGCGTGTTCATATCGGTTGATCTTGATGTATATATTTAGCCTAACTCACTTTTTTGGTCTCTATATGTTTATTTATGAATACCTTGTGAGATTATCCTTGGTATAACTCGGGCCCTCGAGTTGGAGGCCTGACGCAGTTAGTTGAACGCGGACTTGGTCCGGAACGTTTGTCTCACCCTCTCAAATGCTCGAATGCTTACCGGCGGTGTAATTTACGCCCGAAACCTCGAATACAAAATGTGCTGGGCCGGCCCACTTTGTTGAAATTTTCGGTTTCCACTTGTCTTGGACTTGCGGATCCCAGAAAGCGGACTTTTAGGTAACTCGATATTCCTTGCCCTGAGTGGATATGCGACTAGTTATGGAAATTGATGAATTACAAGTATTCCGTGTCTAAGAGGGAAACACTTATTCACGGTTTCATTGGGTTTGTTCTGTCACAATTCTTTGCACTATTTTTCCCGCTGTGCTCGGAAGCCCCCCATGCTTTCGCTGTTCTCGTGCTGTTATCGGCCATTTTGGCGGAGACGGCAAGTTTGGAAAGAGAAAGAAGGTCAATTATTGCTTCCCACGATGTGCCTGTCTGAATACCTATCATTCTAACTTGTAACTTGTGATAATTAGAAGCCGCCAGGAATCTTGATCAACTTCCCTCGTGGACTGCACCTGATAACACACTAATTCTGCAAGCCTTTGAATGGCATATGCCTGCCGATCGACGCCATTGGGCTCGATTGAAGGCTGCATTGCCCGAGTTCAAGGCGATAGGTGTTGATCAATTATGGATTCCTCCTGGGTGCAAGGGGATGGATCCCTCCGGCAATGGCTATGATATCTACGATCTTTATGATCTGGGGGAGTTTGATCAAAAGGGTGCCGTCTCGACGAAGTGGGGCACTAGACAAGAGTTGGAGGACTTGATATGCCAAGCTCAGGCTTTGGACATCAAGATCATTTGGGATGCTGTGCTTAATCACAAAGCAGGTGCTGATTTCCCGGAGAGTTTTGAAGCGGTGGAAGTAGATGCTAAGAGTAAGTAGATATCATTCCTTGACATCCAGTTCAACCGTGGGGTCTTGTGAATTACAACGTTCGGACGGCTAATACATTACTTGCAGGAAGGGACATTGAGGTATCTGAGCCCCTCGAGATAGATGGCTGGGTGGGCTTTGATTTCCGTGGCCGCGGCGATGTGTACAGTTCCATGAAGTATAACTGGCAGCATTTCAGCGGCGTCGACTGGGATGACAGGCGCAAACACCAGGCAATCTACAAAATCCATGCTCCCCACAAGGACTGGGCCACCGACGTGTCCGGGGAAAACGGGAACTATGACTACCTCATGTTCGCCGATCTGGACCTTTCCCACCCTGAAGTCCGCAAAGACGTTCTTCAATGGGGAACATGGATTACTGAAACGTTATCACTCAGCGGGATGAGGCTGGATGCAGCAAAGCATTTCTCAGCGAAATTCCAAAAAGATTTCGTGGACCATATTCGCAGGACTGCCAATCCGGATTTCTTCGTGATCGGGGAGTACTGGACTGGGGACGTAAAGGCCATTGTGAACTACTTGGAGGAGCTTGAGCACAAAATTGCGGCTTATGACGTTCCACTGGTCGAAAAGTTCTCAAAGCTGTCGCATGCACGCGAGGCTGACCTACGTGGTATTTTCGCGGATACTTTGGTACAACGCAGGCCGGACCAGGCGGTGGTAAGTAACACTCCTTCTTTAGCTGGTTATCATATGATACTCAAAGACTGACTTTTGAAGACTATTGTGGCCAATCACGATACGGTAAGTGGCGCAGGTCGAGGCCTTCTCTTTAGGTTTATTGGCTTATATATTGACTTTCTTGCTTATTACCATCTAGCAACCAGGGCAAATGCTCGAGGTAAGCCACCACCGGCCTCTTTTCATCTGATCACAATCATGCTCACCGAAAGAACTAGACCCCCGTGGCATCGGATTTCAAACTGTTAGCCTATTGTTTGACACTACTCCGTAAAGAAGGCCTTCCCTGTGTATTCTGGGGCGACCTATACGGTATCCGTGGGAATGCCGCGCGCCCGATTACGCCTGCATGCAATGGCAAGCTTCCAATCTTGACTAAAGCACGAAAACTATATGCCTACGGCGAGCAGGAAGATTACTTCGACCAACCCAACTGCATCGGTTCGTCTTTCTGCTGCCTCCGCTCCCCCTAATTTATTATTTGCAAATAATTGCTTTTGGACTTGTCGTTCCTGACTATGTCTCAGGTTTCGTTCGCTATGGGAATGCTCGTCACAATTCTGGTCTTGCCTGCATTATCAGCAATTCGGGCGCAGCCAAGAAGCGCATGTTCATTGGTCGGCGCAATACGAACCAGCGGTGGATAGATATCTTGGGCCACCGGCCAGGGGCGGTCATTATCGACAAATGGGGTTATGGGCTTTTCACCGTCAACGCGATGAGTGCCAGTGTCTGGGTTGATTCAGCCGCAGTCAGTTGTGGTGATATCGAGGAGAAGTTGTGCGTATCTCCCTATCTCCCCCTTTTTGACTCCCCTGTTCTGCGCTAACCAACTCAATGCACTAGCCACGTAAACATTTACGACTCTTAATCTTTGGTAGCGAGCTAGGAATATTCTCCCAGAGGGCTCCCAGGATCAGGTAATTATGTATAATAATATTTTTCAATGCAGAAATTTTTTCAAGTGTGTCCGCTAGGCAGCTCAGTTCACCGTGCCCAAGGGAGAATTTATGAACTTGCGAGTCATCGTAACCGCCACTTCCGCTGGCCAAACTTAGATACTACCGTTACTTTTGCGGGCCTTTGGACCCTGGATCCGTACTCCAACGGTGAAATATGGAGAAGTCTCCCTTATCGATACTGAATGTTTTGCTCTTTTTGCGGGTGAATCGGTAGATACTCGGTGAAACATGATGTATCCACGTGTATACAAAATTGCTCGTTGCCGAAAAGTAGCGTGGGCCGAAATATACGGATAAACCCATGGATGTCTCAAAAGAATATCCCTGGAAGTTCCGATTCTTTTTGATGAGTATAATAGGTAGTAATATTATTAATCGGCAGGTCATGTTCGGTGGAGTCTTACTGTAGGTGAGGTCCAGTAGTCGACTTCGGAACCTACTAAGACGCGATCGGACATTTTGCCAAGCCATGGCAGAAACTTCTTGATTGTATTAGATCTCGACCTGGTTACCGGATCCCTGGATGCAGTCTAGCGTTGATCGAATACATCCGTCTGCTTGATAGCCAATCAAAGGTTGTTATTTAATACTCACGGCCTCGATGAAGTCAGTGTTTTTGCTTTGTCGGGAATTGAGTACTCAAGAGTAATCAAAATATCATTCCCATCGAATACTGCATGATTACAATGGGGATTCATCTACATCCTTCAAGACATAATCCGCATTAAGGAGGTGTTGCGATAAGTCCATACTTTGACACTGGCCAAGGAGCTAGTAAGATGGTGTAACAAGATAAGGTGGCCGTTAGAGCAAAAATAGAATTTGCACTACTGGTAAAATACGAACGATACATATACGTTGCGAATCCTGGTTTTACCGGTAATTCCGTGACAGGTTCATGTGCAGAGGCTCGCAACCACGGGACCAATCATGCACGACCAGCGCCGACAAACGCTTGGCATGTCTCGGTCCAGTCTCCGTAGCGCCTCATCTTGCTGGGTTGTGTTAGCGGCTGCAGTGGCTGCAGGGTCTCTATCGGCCCAATCGGCTGTCTCGTTAATACGAATGGGCCGAAAACTCGAGCCTAACGCCGCCCGGTTGGACCGACGGCTCTTTCTGGGATTCCGTTACTAATCTCGGTCCGTTTCGAGCGATCAACCCTCTGAACTTCTTTAACAACCGGTATCATTATTTTAAAATTTTAAAAGAAAAAAAAAAAAAAAAACAGGAAAAATGAAAGTGGAATATTTCGCGTGGCATTGTTGGGTACAGAGACTGGTTCGTGATTCCAGGATGGAGAGCTTGGCTCCCTTTTTCAAGGCTCGTGCCCTATCTGTGTACAGTACTGTCGAGACATGTCATGTCATGTCCAGCAATGCATTCACTGCCAGGTTCGTGCCAGATAATGCCATCAATTGATTCAGATATTATTAGACTTGTCTTAGCTATTGTGCGAAACGAATTTTGATCATCGTTTGTGATGTTACGTTTGGTATTATTCTCCTTCTACTAATTACTTATATTAAATTCTCGACCGGCTTCACTGTCCTTGGAGATATTTCTTGATTCTTGCTATTCTTGAACATCAGTCTGTCGTTCTTTGACTACTATTCATTCGTTAGATCAACACCATGCGTCTCTCGCTTGTTCTGTCTCTGATGCCTTTGGCAGGCTTTGTTGGAGGTAAGTCGAGAGTATCCCTAGCCCTAAGAGATTCCTAACCAAACCATTAGCTCTCCATGTCACCGAGCCCGAGAAGGGTGCTGATATCAAGGCTTCCGACTCTCTCACTGTCAAGTGGACTTATGTCAAGTAAGTTTAATCCTGATTTCAACGTCTGCATGTATTCAAACTCACATCTAACCCGCAACAGCACCGACGCTAAGACCTTCAACCTCTACCTCGTCAACAACGCTGCCTATCCTCCCGTTAGCGAGAAGATTGCTACCGATGTCAAGACTTCTGATGGCTCGTACACCATCGACAGCCTCACTGGCGTCACTGCCGGGTATGTTGTGTTCCCATCTCCCTTGGACCCCCAACACCTTTCGGACCCTAACATTCATCTCCAAACTAGCCATGGCTTCCAGATCAACCTCCAGTCCGACGAGACCATGAACACTGGTATCCTCGCTCAGTCCGAGCAGTTCAACGTGACTGGCTCCGCTCAGAGCTCCTCCACTTCTAGCTCTTCTACTACTTCCTCCTCCTCCTCCTCCTCCTCCTCCTCCTCCTCCACTACCTCCGGCACTTCCACCGGTTCGACCTCTACCACGGGTACCGCTACTACTACCAACACCTTGGTGACCAGCGTTACTGGCACCGCCACTGGTTCTCAGACTACCGGCGCTTCCGGCGCGGCTTCGTCCACTGGTGCTTCTGCTAGCGGTACCTCCTCGCAGACCGCCGTTCCTTCTACCGGTGCTGCTGCCGCTGTCATGGCTCACCCCGCAGCTGCCGCTGGTCTTCTGGCTGGCGCTGGTGCTTTGGTCTTTGCCCTGTAGGCCTGTTGAAAAGACAGCTATGGGTAAGAAGTGGTCAATAGGCCAGTCTCTAGGTGAAGAGGGGAAGGAGAACAATCAACGTTGTTATGTGTGTGGAGGAGAGTTAGATGGGGTTGAAGTGGAATAGAGATATACTCGGAATTAATGATAGATAGAGTCGCTTTTCTTTTGGTCTTCATTTCTGGTTCTATTATTCACTTGCTGTTGATACCCTTCTGGAGGTTGATACTAATAACTCTTATACAATAATTACAATCACGATCATGGCCTGACGCTTCGAAGGCGCGACGAATATGTCCTCGCCTCACAGATGACTGTCTATCAAGCACCACACATGGTATTCTTAGGCACTATATCTCGATTCTTGACTATACCTCTCCTTACTAATTTGCTCCGATGGGTAGTTCCTTCTTCATATTTGATTCCGTTATCTGCCTCCTTAAGGTTGTTGGCGTCTGTAATTGAGCTGCAGCAAGTCCAACACAACTCCTCTTCTCACGCTATCAATAGAACAAAAACTGTTCAAAAATGATAATCTAGCCAGAAATTTCGCTCTCTCGGCCGAATATAATGGTTGACGCTTTTACCCGTTGCCTCGAAGACCTTTTGCTGTTCCTTTCCTGGATATATATCTGACTTACCTTACCCAGCTTTCACAGAGCAGTGCATTGAATAATGATCACATGCAGCCCGGTTGATATGAAGTAATTCTAGCTCGACGAATTCTTCGTCTACTTTCACGATGACCTGGTTTGAGATCTGAACCTACCATGGATTGGGACGAGTCACCGGAATTAAACTGGGATTTACTGATTCGAGAAAGTGTTGCCCAATATGCGCAGAATGTCCATCATTCGGGAGATCGTAATATACAATGAAGAGTTATCCTCGCCCAATAAACCAAAGGGATACCTAAATATGCAATGCTAGGTCAAATCACCTGAAGAGAATGGCATATCACGACCTTGGATTTTGCCTCTGATCCGGTTCCACCCATTTTCCTCCTACAGATCAGCATAATAGCTATAGTCCTGATTCAGTAGATAGAATGCACTAGGCTCAGGCTGTCCACTACCACCCTCCCAAGTCGGGGTCGACAAGGTCTTTGGCGTATCATCCCGACTGGTGCCTGAAAAGACATACTCAAAGGTCTTGGCCCATTGGACCCGGTTGTTGAGGCCCTCCAGTCCCCACAGTTCCTGGAGGAAATGCAAGATTGAGGTGTGGGTGTAGGCGGAGTTGTCGGCGTACGAGGTACCTTTGTCGTGGATAAGGGTGTTTGCGGGGATGAAGGGGGAAATGAGGAAGGCAGGAACACTGGGGGTTATCAGCTTGAATATCTTGGGCTGAAGAAAAGATTGGCTTACCGGACACCCAGGCGAGTAAAGTCATAGCTGACTTGGCGACCTTCGGACGTGCCGCTGAATGTGATGTTATCTTCAGGCTGCGGCACGTTCAACGGGGTAGGAACGTGGTCGGCAAAACCACCATGCTCGTCGAAGTTGATGATCAGAAGACTGATGAGCACATTTAGTCTACCAAGCTAGAGACTCCTCGTTTTGATATGATGACTTACGCATTATCCCAGTACTTGGAACCACGAAGAGCATCGTACAAGTGCTTGATCATCTGTTCACCAGATGCCATGGGGCTGGTTGGGTGCATGGAGTCGATGGTGCAGCACTCGGGGTTGATATACGAGAACGTGGGCAGGGTACCCTGTTCCAAGTCGCGATAGAACTCGTCCGCATGGGCTAAATGATCCATCGCGTTGTCTTGAACCCACTACGAAGGTCAGCACGACATGTAATTGTTATCTGTAGTTTTGAATGGAGCTCTCACCTTGTACATGTATGCATCGATGATGTCGGTCTCATAGTACTAGAAATAAGTTTGATCAGCAGCTGTCAAATACAGCCAGAGAGGCCAATCTTACATTCTTCCAGCTGATATTCTTGTTGCTCAGCGATTCGAAGATCGATGTGGCGCATGTAGTACCCGTGACGTTGTTCCAATACCCAGCAGCCTGGTCAGTGTTATCAACAAAGCCACAGCTCGATCCGGAGGTTGCAAATTGGCGGTTGGGGTTGGTCGGGCCGGGGTGCTCGGCGAACTATCATTCAGCGTTAGTCTCGACGTTCCTTCCTCCATCAGTTTCAAGTCAGATCTCACGTAGGCGTCGAAGAAGGCAAAGTTTTTCGCCAGCTCTGCTAGCAGGGCGGTCTTCTTCTGATCATATGCCTTGATCACAAAGGCTGCATCTCCGGGAGTTGACTCATACTTTTCAGACTGGCGCTCGACGAAACCACCCATGTTGGGGACATCATCCTTAGTGACGTTCCACTTGCGGAAGATCTCATAAGTGACTCCGGCAAAGTTGTGATCGGGATCGACTAGCGGGACTTCCGTCTCGAATGGGGCAGCGCAGATCTCCAGTGGTTCTCCCCACACAGTCCAATTGGCATTGGTGTATTCGTTGCAGTAGTCAATCTTGCGCAGGTTGTCAATGTCCGGGTGGAAGTCCCAATAGCCGGCGATGTTGTCGAAGGAATGGTTTTCCAGGGTGATGTAGATGACGTGTTTGATCTTGAAGAGTCATTTTAGGATCAGTGGATTTGCTCATAGCTCTCACTTTAAAGGGAGATACGGTAAAGCGCTGAAATATCACTCACATTCTCACGCAGCTTGCTCCAGGACTGGGTGCTACGCGCTGTTGGGTGAGCGGATGCTGCAGCGACAAGGCCCGAGACGGCCGCGACGGTCCAAGCTGACTTCATGATGAATCTGGTCTACTCGCTACAGTGAACGGTGCGTGCTGTGCTGAGAAGCGCTGGTGAGGCCTAGTTTTTCGAGCAGGCATGCAGGGACATTCTTATAGAGAGGAGCGGAGACGGCAATTTCTCGCTGGACAGAGTGTACGATTGCTTTCCCGGGAGTTCCTGAGAGCAGGTGCACTCCTCCATCGGCACCTGCCGTGATTGCACACCATCATGGGCTCCATCTGCCAATCTAACGTCTTGGCCAGGAGCCTACGACCGACGCTAAGGAGTACAGCGACGGAAAAGATCCGATCTTAGTGATCTAATCCGAGCCCAAAGGTGGCTTGCAGACGCGGCGTGGTCCACTCTTCACGCTGTTCCACCTTGGACACCTTGATCGAGGTTGGCATGGGCAATCTCATCCCTGTAGGGATGCAGGTGGGTGGGGATCATGAAGTACCAGAAGAAGGGAGAAGGGAGGAGGGTAAGAGGAGAGGCACGCAGGAGATTGCCCTTTTCTGTCCCAGCTATCTTGATTTTTAACAGTGAGCGGGCGACATTATCCGCTTTATCGTGACTATAGGATCTATCTCCGTACTCCGTGCATATCTGCGGGGAAGGACCAGGATGGTGATAACCATGGACTTATGGAAGGATGGATGACCGAGTCGGATGTCGGGTGTACCTGCTTCGTGTCTAGCCACGAGGCTATATTTTCCGGAGTTGGCCACACGCGATCTCGAACTTAAATAACGGGTACAAGGTGCACAATCAGGGACAAACAGAAATTAGACATTCGAGAACAATCACGAGAGTTAAATGAGTCGGGTCACTAATTGATGGAAGTACGAGCTAAACATGTATGTGGCCCCACTAAGCAGCCGATAGTAACCAATCAAGGATGAGCCTTCACCCGCGATTACAATCTATCTATTCTGATTGGCCTTATCCCTGGATTTAAGCACTAGCCAGATCCACATGGATCCACCGCCTGCCAATGCTGCCCCGCTCACGAGCTGATTGTCCGCGAATCAGCGTGGCACGTGCCTGACAACACCGTCGCAAGGCCGGCCACTGCCAAGCACGTTGTTCCATAATAGGCTGGGACGCTCTGCGATCGGCGGGGAACCTTGACTGACGGCCTGTCCACCGGGCTCCGGTCACTTCTTCTGCGAAAGAGTAACGCTTCCAAGCGAGAGGGACGAGAGCACATGCAGCTCCACGGTCGCATCCCTCTCTTAAGCCCGCCTGTTCGAATCTTTTTTCTTATCTTTCATTTTGCTCCGGTGGAAGGACACTTTGAGACATCCTTAAACAAGGGATAACCATAACGGTCATTCGGATCCTGTGATAACCCAATTATTCACTGCTTCCGAGTCTCTCTCCTTTCTCGCCATGTCAATTACTTCAACGAGCGGCCTCATGTCGAACTATTCACGTCTTTCCGACCACCGATCCTCGTCCGAGGAGGAGAACGAGAAGGATATGCATCTGCGTTTGCAATCCGATGTGGAAGCTGGCGAGAGTCAGATTCACCGTATGGTGGCAACGGACAAGAAGCCCTCGCGCTGGGTTGACGGTCGTACCGTTTCGGACGCCATTATCGGTCTTTCGGACGGCATGACGGTGCCATTTGCGCTCACTGCTGGACTATCCGCCTTGGGCGATACCAAGGTGGTCGTCTTTGGTGGTATGGCGGAGCTTATCGCCGGCGCCATCTCTATGGGCTTGGGTGGCTATCTTGGCGCAAAGAGTGAAGAGTAAGCCAAGCTTTCCCGCCAATTTTCTTATGCACAGCCCCCAACCATACAACGGCCGCCCAATGGGCCCTTGGAGAGCAATGACCGCTGACATCGTTTCATAGGGAATCATACAAGGCCACTCTCAAAGAGACCAAAACCCAAACCATGACCGACCCCGCCTCCGTTTCTACCACCATCGAGGAGATCTTCGAGCCATACGAACTCCCCGCCGAATTAGTCTCCCAATTGACCAGTCATCTCTCCGCCTCCCCCATGCTCCCATCTTTCCTCATGAACTTCCACCACACCCTCCCCGAACCGTCGGGCTCCCGTGCCGTCATCTGCGCCCTGACAATTGCTTTGGGTTACTTCATTGGTGGTTTCGTGCCTCTCCTGCCTTATTTCTTCGTTGGCCCCCACGATGCTTTTGTCGCACTACGCTGGTCCATTGCAACCATGGCGATTGCCCTGTTCCTCTTTGGGTATGGCAAGACTTGCTTCGTGAGTGGCTGGAGGGGCCGGAGAAATGTGCGCAAGGGTGTGATCGGAGGCGTCCAGATGGTGCTAGTGGGTGGTGTGGCAGCCGGATCCGCCATGGGACTGGTGAAGGCGTTCCAAATGCTGGCAGATGGGCATGAACATGCCAAGCATGACTAATTTCGGCGTGAGAAAGGAAGGATAGCATTATGTGTACAACCTCGATTCCTCTCGTTTTTCGTTCTTTCTGGCTGGGTTTGATTTGGCGTTCATGGAATGGTGTTCTCGATCGGGCCCCTCGAGGTGCTGCGGCGTTCTTTCTTTTTCTTTCTTCGAGTCTCTGATTCATGATATGTGATCATGAACGGAGGCAGTCTACGGAAATTATGGACAAAAGTATCCACAGCATCAACCAATATAGACATGGTTTTTTGTGTGGCCGGGTTGCCGCGAACAATCAAAGAGGACTATCGTGTTAGACGGACACAACTCAATCGTACAAGAACTTCAAATTGATATGCATTTACAGTAGCAGTGTTTACAGAAAATGTGAACCCAGATGGTAGGTACCTCCCAACTCCCTTCTCACACAAGATCAAAGCTTAGAAGCAATGGGATGCACGTCCCTCAACTCATCATGAACGAGCTTCGCGATTCTCCCGCCGTCATCCATCGCTCCATCGATGAACCCTCTCCATCCAAAGGAAGAATCCGAGCTGGCAAAGAACACATTTCCATGTCGCTCTCGCAGCGCCTTTAGGTACTTCGTTGTCATACCTGGCCGCAACCACTCCCACGCACCCTGGGCAAATTCGTCCTTGTGCCAGTTGTGGAACACCAACCTCTGCACATTCATGCCCGGGTGGAAGGCCTCAAAGGCCTCCTTGGTGACTTCAATATCCTGCTCGGGATCCAAGTGAACTCCAGGAAGGGAGCTGCCAAAGGCAACGAGGTGAGTATTTCCCGCGGGCGTAGTTCCATCACCGAAAGTGTAGGTGAGCCTGCCGTGGGGGTAATTCGTCGCGCCGAGCGAGCGCATGTCGGGATTCGCAACTTCGGCATGACATTTGACGACTTTGTTGACATGACCAGCTAGAGAAGCTTCCGTCTTGAGAGTCGGCAGCTTCGGTGAAAAGGCCAAGGTATGCAAGACATTCAACGGCACAGTGCAGACCAAACGTCTCGCCTTGAAAACCTCCCCTCCACTTCGAGCGGTAACTTCAACTCCGTGTCCATGATCAATTACGTCCTTGACCGGCGTGGAGAATGTATAGTCCAATCTACCCGTGCCGACAGCTTCATCGAAAATCCGTCTCGCCAGCGCAGACTGACCATCACGGATCTTGTACATGAGTCCAAGTTCCATGAAGTTGGGGAGATTGTAATCCATCAATGCCCACCACCGCAGCAGCTCGAAGAAAGATGCTTCTTCCCATTTTCCTCCGTGCGTGATGGATAGGAATCCCTCGAACATGTTCTTTTCCAATGGTGTCAAGTGAGGTGCAACCTGTACCATGCGGTCGGCCATAGACATGTGGTCGTACTCCTCTACGCCCGCCCTGTGTAATTCGATATCGTGCGGGAAGGGAACCACAGTGCGGCCGAATTGGCCGTCCACATTGATGAATTTCTTGAATGCGGACTCGACAATTGCATCCTAAGAAGGCGAGTGAGTAAACTCTTCTGCCTCCGAGTTCTGATCCCCAAATAGGTGAGTGCATAGCTTACCTCATCGTCATGCGTCAGATGCTTAATCTCTCCATCCAAATTAACAGTAACTCTCGCCCCGCCCTCAACATTCTTCCTTGGCGAAATCTCCAATTGATCGACCATCCCGTACCGTCTCAATTCACGCCACACAAAAGGTTGATGCCAATGCACCCATGTTCCACCCATCTCATAGGGGTATCCGTCAATATTAGAGGACCATGACCGCCCACCAATACGGTCTCGCGCTTCGACGAGCAGCACATTGTTGCCGGCAAGGGTGAGATCCCGACACGTGATTATGCCGGCGTATCCGCCTCCGATCACAATTACGTCGTAGTTCTTCCCCCTTGTGAAGTGGGTGGGTGGTTGGATCAGACCGAGAGTTGGAACTCCTTGGACTAGGCCCGTGGCCTTGGTCCACTGATAGCCGTCGCGGCTTTTTGGTTGATTGGTCATGGTAGGATTTATAGGTGTAGGGCGATATATCGTGATGTGGGTAGAAAAGTTTCTTGAGGAGAGGTGTCTCTGGGATGTTACTTATACTCTCATAGTTCCAGCGAAAGTTGGGTCATTTTTACCCCATAATTTAGCGGCTACCTTGTTGCCACAATCTGCTCGGAAATATGTATAGCGTTCCGAGGTCAATACCGATATCGGGGCTTATCGCCCACGCATCAGGATAACGGCGCTTGTTTGTCCGTTTCGGGCTTATCCTCTCAAATCTGCGTCCGCAATGATGTTCGATTTCCGATCTTCCGAGCTTGCTGTGCTTATGTGGGGATCTTCAAGGCGTCTTCTGGTAGCAGTTTCCCGCTAACTATACCAAAATGTCCGGCAATGACAGATGGTAGGTGATTATGAGTCAGCCATAATTCTTTGCCTACCTCATCATTGCGGTTTTCTTTATTGACTATCCATTGCTCTCTCGAAGGTAATCTTCCCTATGTAAAAATCTCCTTGTAGTTGGAAGTCATTCATTGAAGGTCGTGACATCCCATACTCCACCCTCTCCGCAGATTGTCCAATCGTGTCGTCCCCCGCTTGGCTCCGTTTCGGTCTGCCTTTCCGCTTCCGAGCTCGCTCAAACTCCCATCGCTCTTGCAACGACGGCACCCTCGTTCGATTCCGCCGCTTCCCATACTGTCATTCCTCAGACCATGACAAGCGAGTCGCCTGATCGAGATGTGGATCCGTCCACATCGTATCATCCGAAGAAGCGAGCGAAATACACTCAGATCGCTTGGTTCGTTACGTTCGCTCCCTTCCGCGATTTAGCACGGAGTTGTCTATACGTGCTTATGCTGACTATGGTAGCAATGAGTGTAAACGGCGCAAAATCAAGTGTAGCGGTGGATCGACGTGTTCACGGTGTGCCCGTGGAAACATCCCCTGCAGTTATCCCACCGATCGCATACCAATCCAAGAAACCGAGTTCAAAGATGCACGGTAGGTGTTCATTGCAGAATACGAATAAACGAGCCACTATAACCAGTGACTGATTCTGTATAGTGTTGGCCCCAAGTTTGAGTCCGTTGATCGGCAACTGGAGATGCTTCGGCGGGAAATGCGGATTATATCTGCTCGACTGCAAGAGCTAGAAGCTTCCAGTCCGGCCTCGTCAAGACCTGCAAAGACGTCTACTCCAAGGGAGCTGGATCGTATTCTGAACGCACCGAAATCACCACCGTATGTCGGGCCGACTAGTGCGGAGTTTGGGCTACGACGACAAAGGGCTTCGTCGCAAGATCGTAACGGTGATGGTGAGGCCGATGAGGACATGCCCTTGTCTACGCCGACCCGAAGCCCCACCCCAGATGGAACAGCTTCGCATACCGGGAGTGGTGTGCACCTCGGTCTCGACGATGCACTTCGTCTAGTACAGGTGTATGAGGATCTTGTCGGGGTGATGTATCCCTGCGTGGATATAGACGGTGTTCGTGGCTATGTGCACGAGTACTATCGCTCCCACGATACGATCCTTACGGATGCAACCGAATCGCTGGAAAAAGCGTCCACGGACCAGGACTGGTTTTTTGCTCGGGATATCCAGGTATTGAAATTGATTCTCGCCACTGCCCTGGTAGCCGAGTCCCATGGCCGTAGTGAAGCTGCGGCGCAGCTTGCGGATAGTGTTGAAGACCGGTTCGCCAGCCGATTCAAGGTCGCTGAGGTGGATATGAAAGAGATATTGATTATGACATTATTGGTATGCTGGCGTCCTTTATGTCGCTCTCATCCATTATGTACCGCCGGATCTAACTTTTATCAATAGTCAATCTTTCACTCGTACCGAGACGATGAAGTCATCTCCTGGCGTATGATGCGCATTGCGACCAGTGCCTGCATGGAACTGGGCCTTCATCGACAGGAGACCTGGCAGCGGACAGGAGGTGTCTTCCCAGGCGAGCTTGCTTGGACCTGGGCGATGCGGCTCTTCTGGTGCATCTACGTACTAGATCGAAAGTGGGCATTTGGCAGTGGCCTTCCGTTCGGCATTCAGGACATGGATATGGACACAAATCTCCCGGAACCGGGACACTCTACCCCATACTTGACATGCATGATCTCGTATGCGCGGTTGAGCACCAAGATCTGGGGTTTGGTCATGGAGTGGCCCAAACATTCGCAACTATCGACGGCCGATAAATGCGCCGAGTTGGATGCACAGGTGCAGCAATGGATTTGGTCGATTCCTCGCGAGCTACGCTTCGACCCAAATCGGCAACCGGGCTTGCTTGCCAACGCCGAACATTCTCAGCAGAACGATCGTGCGATGATGCTACAGGTCTTACTCGCATTACAGGGAAATCAGCTTCGGATCCTGGTGTATCGACAGAATCTACAAAGCAGTGAACACATTGCTGGAGACGTTGCTGGTGCGACTATAGCTGTTGAAACAGCGAAGCGCACTATCCACATGTTGGAATATTTCAGCAGTGTGACAAATATCTACTTTCAACGTCCAGAGCCGTTCAACTATTTCTTGATCTCTGCGTTAGCTGCTCTTCTCTTAGCAGTCCTGCACGCACCGAGTCGCTTTAGTCATGTCTGTCGGCCAGAGTTCTATACAGCTATAGAACTTGTGCGTCGGTCGGCAACTCGTGCCCCAACATCGAGACGCTTGCAGAAGATCATTCGCAGTCTGAAACATATTCAGTTGCACAAGGGCGGACTGGATCACCATACGGACTCTCACGGTCGACGAGCCAAACCACGGATCCGAGGTACCAAAAGGGCTGCAGATTACCTTCCACAACCAGCAACACAGACAGATTCGACGACTTCCCGCGTTCCATGGGATATCAATTCCCTCTCGACTCCAACACCGCATCCTGCATCGAATCTCCATCCGAACCAACACATCGATACATCGACCACTGCATGGCAGATCTCTCCTGGAACAATGATAGACGAGCCTAACATTTGCGAAGATCTGAGCAGCTTTTTCGAGAATGCCGGTGATCTCTATTTCGATTCTCATGGAGGTTCGGACCTACACTTGGCCACCGGACCGGATTTGTCACTAGCTAGGGGAGTGGATATGGGGTTCTTTTCTGTTCCCGCGAACCCAAAGTCACCTAATATCGCACCCGATGCCTTTGAAGCCGACAATGAGGAATTGACGAGGGTGATGGCTGGTTTGCTATGAGATTGCAGACTCCGTGCTTGAACTACCTTGGTCAACTAAACCATTTCGCTAATGGAGCTTGGAGACGACGAGTTCTGATTTCGATGAACGACCATTTACGACGCTTACTTGTCAGCGGATCTTCATGCATCCGACAACTCTCCAATCGGCACTCCGTTCCGGACATTCGCCAGATCACTCTCTTATCGCCCTAGTTGACGGCCAACGCTATGAGCACGTTGTCGGCCATCAGGCGTGGCGGCGTGGATCGAAGCATTGCGTCATGGCACCCTCATCAACTGTATCGCCGCAGGACTTGTTTTGTCCTCATTGAGCGGCAGTTATAATTGGCAAGGAACAGAGCGTTGTTAGTAAGGAATATTTCATTATTCTAACTCGGATTCTGATCGCGCCCCTTATCGGGTAGTGGGTCGATCGCTGAGGTCATGTTGTGGAGAGGGGAGGGGTATGATGAAGTCGCATGGTGACATACACTGCGGGAAGAGTGCAGACGTAGAGAGAGACCTTTAGAATCCTGCAAAGTGAATGAGATAGATGATACTTTGAATGAACACGCATCGCTGTGACTGCCCCATTAAAACTATTAGTAGCCAAGTTTGGGGGCCATGTAATACCTTCCAGAGATGATGGTTTTGTCTCCGCCTTTTCTGCGATCTACATGATCTACGGAGTTACACCCTGCAGACATGCAGCGACCATACGGTATCAAGTAATATCCTGCATGGGTATTACTGGACCGAGTATCATTTTTGGTATCATCTTCTGACGCGCCATTGCGAGCCGCATCAATTTCCTGGTGGGCTCGTAGAGAACCGTTTGGGCCCCCCGGAATGCTGGCTGTGCAGTGCCAAGGTGTTGTATTTACGGGCGTAGCGGTCTTAACTGAGTACATAGCCACTTAAGCTGACATTCTTGGGGGCTGATGCTGGTGGAACTATGGGGTAGGAGGGGGTTTGATGTGTAAATTTGGTGCATCGTCTATGCTACTGCCTGGATCTTGTTCTATGGTTAGTAAATCGAGATTGTGGGTCGGAGGTTGGGGGGAATTTTGGAATCGTGTGTTGTCCGTTGCCCTTGCGTTGGGTCGTACAATACTTGCATCTTTTGGTAGTTTGGGTAGTACCTTCCAATGCAGCACGAGTCCCTTGAGCGGTGCATCAAGCAAAGTCAAGGAAGCAATCAAGGGATGAACAAGATTCCACTTTAGGTTTTCAAGTGTGCTTTAAGTCATCGCGAAGCATATGACTGTAAACAGCAACACGTTTAAGGGAGTAGGTTAGAAGAGCTCCCCCCGATGAACCAGTAAGCAGCGCGGATCCAGCCACTAGCCAACGCAAGCTGACGGTGATGAGGTCAGGCCACGTCCCCCACGCGATGTGGCGCAGTGACTGGCTCGTGCAGGAAACCGGAAAGAAAGCAGAGCGAACACGTTTGACGAACGTTGGCCAATGCCAATGTATGAAGTATGTAGTTGACATTACTGCGAGCCTTGTAACGTTATTACCACGCAGTGCTTACCGTATTCGTGCAGATTCTCTGGAAATGAAAGGAGCTGGTGGCCGCTCAAGCCTTGCATCACTATGGCCGCGGCCATGCACTGCCCTTTTTTGCACGTACGGCGGATCCACCGTTGCGCCAGGCAGCCGCCGAGGTACCTGAGCCAAACGAATACGATCAGCATTGAGATCAATTGGGGACGGTCGAGCCGATTTGGAGATAATTATGAACATGGTACCGGTGGTTTTGTCACGGTTGTGAACATGGCGATGCCGTTACCATGGTCTTTCAAGATCTGACGGTACGGAGATTATGGGAGGGGATGATTGTAAACGGCTGGAGATGCCGTATCTTGTAAGCGCCCTCGTGGGGAGTTGAGGAGAACCGTGGGCGTCTTCATTGGATGGATGGTGCGCGCGACGTTGGAATGTGAAACGACAGGCTATCTGATTAAGGGTGTCCGTGGGTGTTTGGACTGGAGGTTCGAGAATGCGATTACAATAGGAATCAGTTGTAGCCATTGGGCTGGAAACCTCGTGGAATAACTAGTTTATGAAGCTGAATCTTTTGATATCGCCTCGATTGAATAGAGTCATAATGACTGACTCGTTTACATCAAAATACAGAAGATGGATGCCAGTTTACTAGCTACCTAGGATATGTCGACTTACTTTTGAATTTATTTGGACCTTTACTCTCGTACAAGCATCGCCGTGGAGCTATCTCATGCCATCTGTACAATTGGACTAGACCTGATGTTCGATATTCCGCTCTCATACTCAAACCGTTGCCATCGTCACTTCTTCATTTGCGGCTGCACGCACACCCAGAAAGGCAACAACGATGGCGACAACTTCTTCTCAAAAAGCTGTATCTCGGTTTCCACAAGAAGGCAAGGACGAGAAATCCTAATCGTGACTTTTCGACTTTTCGATCCCGGCCCGTTATTCCTCAAATTCCATTTCGTACTACCACTGCCCCCATCGCTAAACAATGGCACCTATCCCCCCGAATGGATCCACGTAGTCCTACACCACCAGCAAGTGGTCGCCTCGGACGCAAGCTTCGCCAAAAAGGCAATCGTTCTTCTCGTCGTGGGACACATCCTTGTCCTCTATGTGGTGTTGTGTTGGCTGGGAGCTAGTACAATCACTGGTGAACCCCCATCATACCCAAGAGAAGTGGAGCTTCAGCTAAACCTGTCATCCACAGCAGACAGCCGCGACCATCCAAACCCCGAGTGCCTCGAGAACCGGTACGAGCTCGAGCCACGAAGGTCGAGCATCGTGAACGTGAGGAAACACGGCCCAAGCTCCTCCGATCTGCATATTTGACGGCAGCCCAAGCCAATGTCGACGCGAAAGTGATTGTGATACGTCGAATTCAGCCAGTGCAAAGCTGGATCATCGCGCATGCAACTGTATCACGGAGCAAACATATTTCACGGAGCTTGGACTTGTTCGCCCTCGATTAAAAGAACTATCCAATCCCCGCTCAGGTACCGCGGGATTGATCGGCATTGATTGGACGGTCGCGCGACACGGCGATTTCTGAAACTTCGGGGGCGGGAAAACTAGACCTATAATGGTCTTACGGCGACAGGATGGGATGGTCCTGAATCAGTGAGACCTACGGCTTGAATTGATTCTATACGAATGTACGAGGCTACGAGCCCTTCCTAAATTCAGTGGCTGGAAAGAGAGGGGGCTGGTGGGATTTCAAATCGGCACCAAGAACGGAGCATCGGCACGGAGCTTGGACTACTATCGGTGGCTGGATGGATGGTGTTGTTGACCCCCTGAACTAGTGACGGACTGACAGCAAATCGCAGTCAATCAGGGTGCCTTGTTGATGTTTCATTTATGGGGCCCCGTTGGGGAGGGACATGAGGAACTGCACCGTTTTGAGACAAAAAGCAATAGAGCTGCACATCCTCATCTCTTCAGTGAGGCGCTGGGGCCCTCGGCGGCTCCAGCTCCCGCGAAAATAGTCTTCGGTAGTGCCGGCTGGATCTGAAATTTCAGGAGAGTTGCCTTTTTGTCTGCTGCCCAAGCTGCGAGGAAGTGCTACTGTAGTTTGGTACGGAGTATTCTACATACGGTAGTCTCGTTGGCTGGCCACACTATTTGGTTACTAGGTCTCCGTATTTAGTATGCCATTGGCTGTCTCAACCTACGGCTGTCAAATCGCACTATAACCTCCACTGCCGTCACTGCCGTGCATCTATGTGGTGATATCCAGTCCCTTTCGTCGTACAACGCAGGTTCACACGCGACCAGAAGTACAGTCCCCCCACGATCTGCCAAACAGGCACACATCGACCAAGTACCGCCATTTCACGGGCATGCCCCTGGATCCGCCGCGTCACCCCGAGGCCCGGCTTCCTTGGAACGTCGTGTATTTCCAGATTGGCGACTCTTGGAAGGTCGAATACCCGCTGACTAAGTAATAATACACCAGAGGTGTAATTGCTTCACTACTACCGAGGATTGTTGGTGAACTATGGATATTGGAGTCCTGTGTACTGAGGTGTAGTCACCCCGACGACCGATGCGTAGTCGGACGCTGTACGACCGTTGGTGGGCTAAGCGAAATTGGGTGGGAGGGTGAAAAGGATCCAACTCCCGTATCAGGATTCTCGTTGGCTTACGAGGTAATAATAATGGGGGCCAAGGCTAAAGAGGGTCCAATAATGGGATCTTCTGCAGTTGAGTACACCTCTTTATTGAAAGAGTGCGGCAGGGCCAAGAAGCTGAATGAGTTTTACTGCTTAGGTACTGCTAACAAAAAATCATGCTTACCGTGATCTAGTTAGTTCCTACCAAAAGTAGTTAGCTAATGGGCTGAAAAGCGGCAAAGGCTGACCAAACTCTGGTGAAGGAAAATTTTGCTTCAATGGCCCAAACGGGTCTTTATTCGAAGTTTCGGGACCTTGGATTGGTCCCGAGGCTCATCGCTGCACCCGTGTACCTATTCGGCGCTTCTTTTTGCACTTTTGGTGGGCTCCCTTGCGGTATTTTGGTTTTATACTTGCATAAGTTTCTTAGCGCGACCTTCGTACTCTGGACGGAGTGGATTGTGGCTGGATTGCCTTGTGCTCCATCGTCCCATCGCGCACAGCTTTGTAGACACGAGCTATCCTAGCTTCAGCTTCATAGGCAAGATTTTTTTTGTACGTTTGATGATCAACTAGCGTAGCTATACGACTTGGAGGGTCAAGCCTCGGTCTCAGTCGCAGTATCAGCAGTATCCTCGAGAGTCGGGCATTCATAAGATGCAGTCATCTCGGTGACCTCTCGTGCTTCAGCCCGATCGGCCTCCGTCAACTCCGTTCCGCCGCATCCGCCCGGCACTCTCCCGGAGGTTCATGGATCGTATGAATCGTAACGAGACAAAAAACCACAAGAAAATCGGCATCGGGTTTTGATCTCATTATCGTCAATCATGAAGAATCCATTATCCCTAGACCATCATTCTTATGTACTATATGGCTGCCTATTTGATTTTAATTCTTCTAGGGACCAGTTAGTTAGTTCCTTGGGGCGGTGCTCCTTTAATTACGGCTGCCGAGGACTAGTCAACTCGGACGGTGCAGCGAGGAGTTTCTTAGTCAGTCTCTTCGTGACGTTATGGACTTTTTTTTCTCCTGGAACCCTGGAACGCCGGTAATACCAATACCGCTCTCCATACGCGCTGCCAATGAGTTCCCCTTCATAATCCTTACTCTTTCCCCCCCTCGGTCCTCTCCAAATTAATCCTAATCCTGATCGCCTCATCCTCATCCTCTCGGCCACCACGCCTTGCATACAGACCGGACCTCCCACCGCTACCCCTTCTTTCCCTCTCATGCCGGTCTGTTGACGTGGATCTCGCCGTCACCGCCCTGTCGAATTCCTTCCCGTCTCATCCCACGCGGTCTATCCCTCGACGCCTGCCTCCCGCCCAAATTCCTCCCTCCCCTTCTCCCCAGTTCGAGTGATTCCCGAGTCTCTCTCCGCCAGGAGACTCGCGCCGCGCAACGATGAACACCTATCCATCATGGAAGGATCGCACCC